GAAAGGCGTTAGCAAAGAAATAATTACAAAATTGAATGATTCTATGCCACCAGTATATCGTGAAGTAAGAAATAAGACAAAAAAGGTTATTCAACAAATTATTCATTTTTCGTTTATTCTTGTTTGCATTTCGATAGTGTACACCTTAAACGACGTTGACTCTTTAATGTATTATTTTAGTGTATTACTACAATATGTCAAATCACTGGCTCACCGTTTCAGGTTGGCCCTTCTGTTTTAAATAAAGTATGTTTTTGGAAAGTTGCTTAATTTATCTCCACTAGTGTATATACCATAATGTAGTGCTAAAGTTTAAACATGTTTCATTTTGTAAATGCTACAAATTCATGAGTGACTTGATTGGACCAAAAATAGTCTAGCTGATGTAAAAATGTTGCACAGATTTTTTGGTTGCGTATGTTCAAGTATAACTCTTATGTTTCACGGTAATGAAAATTTAATCAACAGCAGCAGATGTGGTTCAAGAATCAAAGGCGAAAATAGATAGATAACGAAGACCCTGTAGAAATAAATCAACAGTGAAGTTAAGGAGAAAAGTTACGACAAATGTGGTCAAATGGAAAACTAACATGACAACATAAAGGACTGTAAAGTAAATGACTTCCACCTAGATTTTTCAATTACATCTATTAACGAAGAAAATATTACCTGTACTTTTTAAATTCAGAACGAAGTACTACTATTTGAATAAGTAAGTAGGCGAGACATCTGTATGTCGATACTTAGACAGATTATAGGAAATTTTTATAGAATGCTCAATATGGTAGGCAGCAAAAAAGCAAATGAGTACATAGAACGTACTAAGCCTAGGTTAACATAAAAATAAACAAAAGTCAGAAACATATTTAAGATAAAGGATTATTGTCTAAGTAATTGTTGCAGTTAGATATTTTATATAAAAAATAATCAAAGGAGACGTAGTTACAAAGATACAGTTTACCTTTATGTGTAGACACAAAAACAAAAAGGTCTTAATAAATACTCCTATCTTTCCCTTAAAAATCACCTGTGGCACATGATGTATTATCAAATATTTTCTTAGCAGATATATTATGTCACTTGTTTTAATGCTTATTTGTGGTTGATCCATTACAGCAATAAAAATTAGGAACACATGATCCAAAAATATTAACTTAAGACCATCATTATTTTCTTAATTTAGTACAAATTAGTCCTGAGTAATAATTATGCTTAACCATTTTGTAAGTATTTTGGGATATGCAATTATATTCTAGTCTAAGTGAGAAAATAGGTCAATCTCAAGGAAAACACGAGCGAAGTTGTAAAAGCAAAACGACCCAAATATTTTTAAATTGTTTTTATTATAAAAAAATGGATAATGTAGCAAATAATACTATAACCGCACCATCCTTAGAGACTGATTCGTAACACATGCAACTACTTCCATATACGCATGTAAGTTGTAAAAATGCGAAACTAGTTCCTTCAACTAGAAAATTTGCAGTTGTCGATAATATGTACTCATTATTTTGAAAATATGCCAAGGTTGATCTAATAAATTTGCGTGTGCAATAACTTAAAATAATTTTTGTCAACTACAGGAAATAATCACTTTAAGCTTAATTAGTCACGAATTGAAATGCGACTGTAATACGTTACTATTTAGGTAATATAACTATGACCATTTAATCAGAGCAAAAGTGTCAGAACGCTGCACATTTTTTAATTTTACTGAAATAAATCAACTCCAATTCTAAAAGCTTAAAAGAATAAAATAATGCACAGCACTTAGATTGTACAACGGTAACTTCGTGGTATAGTACTGTAACAAGAAACAGGCATAATCAATTTTGACCAATATATTAATTTTTAAACTATGTACTAATAAATTTTTGAATTGAAGTTAGCAACTTTTAGTAGGATAAATATATTAATTATATAATGTAAGTACTAATCACTAATTCAAAGATTCGGACTAACTGTACGAGCCGTTGTGTTATCCAACCAATCTTTATTTTACTTTTCATGAATATTTTTGTACTATTTATTGGAAATATTTAAAATGTAGTACAACAGACTTTCTTTCCGTATCTGCGACAAGCACGTGAGTAATGCAGTCAGCACCCATTGTGTCAGAGAATATTTTACTATTAGTGTAATAAACTTAATTAATCAAAATGACCCTATTTTCAATACTTCCGTTTGCTATCACTCTATAATTAAAGTATTTAAAAATTAAAAGTATAACTTTGTAAACGTAATGCTGTCTCATTGCGTCATTTTTAAGCATACTTTGTTAAGAAAATAAATTGCCAGCAAATGTAAGATAAAATTGTATAAAGAGTTGAACATACGTAACGAGGTGTAAACTTTCAACAACGTACATATTGCCTGAACAAGGCGGTACATACATAAATCTGTACAATAGTCAATATGATCCTGTTAAAATTCCATTCTTGTTTATTAAAATTTTTGCCAAACTCTTAACGTGTTTTGAAATTTTCTGTAAGTAAAATTTTTAATTTGGAAGATTATTTCGATTTATTTAGGATTTTTTTTTCTATGAAGTAAAAATTTTGACATTCGAACCATATCGCGGTCGACTATTTGTTACATTTTATCAATGTTGTACTTCCAAAAATTCTGAGTATTTATTACAATTTTGTAGTGTATTAATTTCAAAATTCTCACCACTAAAAAAAATCGTGCCTGCTGAAAATTGCAAAACACGTGTTATGAAAAGAACAAAGGAAGCTTTTTTAAAAAATTAAAGACATTCATGCAATCAAAATTACATTATTAGAATCATCAAAAATTTAATTTAATAAATATAAAGAGAATTTTAATAGTGGTAGATATGGATGGATTCGTGCATCAATTTCTTAAGAAAATCAGTATGTGTTTAATAATTGACAACGCCTCCGTAAAATCTCTCATGTAAAATACATGTTTATGGGTTTTACACGTTGCCAACTCAAACTGGAATAACCTACAGCAATAATAAAAATAATCTGCATGCAGTTGGCATTGCATATAACTGTAAGAACAGTCGAACTCTTAGTGCAAAACCTAGGGTAAAAATCAGATATTCTCGTTCCGAATCCACCAGCCGTGAGAATTTGTAGTTGTTAAGGATTTCATGCAACACTTCCTCCACATGCAATTGTGGTATTTGAGAAATAGTCCTAATAGCGTGGTACGGTAAATACGTCTAAGGAAGGAAATGTTCTGAAGGTGTGTACTTGCGTTTAGGTAATGAGAAAAATGGAGCGAAAGTGGATAGCAATTGGATTATTCATAGACAAAACCCATGATGTGTATGAAAGTCATGAACGGTGTTACGGTCTGTTGAACAACCAAAGTCATGCGTTAGCAGAAATTTGGAAAAAACCGCGAACACCTCTGCGAAAATTTTCTTCGCACTAACCCAGAATAAAAACTAATAGATAAATTAATTTTGTATTGTTTAGGCACTCATCGTAGTTGCTTGTTATTACATTCCTTTAAAATGTAGGCTATAATGATAGAAAATGTAATTGCTCTTTAGGCTGTCAGTGTAATGCATTTCCTTAAAATGAACACTGCAACGAAGTAAATGGTGATATGCATTACAAAGTCTGCATGCCGAACCAAAGAAATTCATTTATTCCAAAATGCATTAAATTGTTAATTGCATCAAATACACGAAAGCATTTCCGCAGAGGAAGCAAAAGAAATACTTTCTTTGTTTTTCAAAGAAACATCTTGTTTTCTACTTCCTCCCCTCGAGCAGACCGTCGCGTCGTATGTAAGAAAAGCGAAATACCTACACAAGGTTACAATGAAATTTGCGAATAGTTGGCATAAATACAGGGTTAGTCACGAGAGAATTACTTCTGAAAATTATTTTTACGCAACCCAAAATACGAATACCATGTACCATTTGATACTAAATGAATTTAAAATGAAATGCTTAATCCATGATTGCTTTGACTTTGGCAGTGTCACTTTGACGTTAATTAATTTTTAACATTTTTTTTCATCGTTGACTCGCCTCTAAAGCCCCATTGGATCAACGACATACAGTCAGATCAATCTGGGCTATACTGAAGCCGTAAGTGCTCTACCAATGTTGTTCGCCGCTAATGTGCATGTGTTAATTCGCCATCTCTGCGTCACCTAGAGCCTCTTCGAAGTGCAAATCTGCAACCTCTGCACTTCTTCGGCCATCCATTTACAAAAAAGCCGTAGCATCTCCCCAAAATGCCCAACATTTTTAACAGATTAGTAGTTAAATTATTTACTTACTTGTTTGAGTTTGTGTTGTAACCTTTGAATAAAATGCCGTAAAAGGAATTTTTAGAAATAATTTTCTCATGATTAATCGGTTGTAAAAGATCAAGAGGCACACTGACAAATTTATTGGCGGCGCCGGAGGAGATTTCCGACTGGCTGCGGTACCACCATGGACACTCGCGTAACCTCATTTTCCACAATTGTCAAAATGAGATTGCCAAACTCAAAGCAATCATGGATTAAGCATTTCATTTTAAATTCAGTTAGTATCAAATGGTATATGGTATTCGTATTTTGGGTTGCGTAAAAATAATTTTCAGAAGTAATTCTCTCGTGACTAACCCTGTATAAAGCTTTAATACGCATATTTATTTTTCTCAAAGGTGGTTACGACATTTATTGCTATTTATGTTTAATTTTACAAGTTTTTACTTGACTCTGTATGTGTTGCGTGTAACTATACACGCATGTTATCAAATAGTTGACATAATTACAAAATCATTCACAGATAATTAATAGATAAGTAGTCCTATATTTTTATTTTTCTATGTTGGTATTAATTGCACTTATTTAAGGTAGTTTTTACTTACTAAGTTATATTTTTAAACTGATAAATCCAAGGTTCTAACATGACAGTTACGCAAAATTTGTTGCTTTACTGTCTCAAAAAACTGTATTAGGTAAATGAATGCGGAAATGTGCAAATGTAAAAATTTGTAGAAAATGTGTGTTAAATGACATACCCGTAATTCCAATAGTCCCTTTGCGTTACATTTAAACGGATGTGACCTTCAGAATATTCAGTGCCACGATAATTACCCAACCAAACATCATAACCGGCGTCTGCGAGGAGAAAGGCTACAAGAAATAATTAAAGTTGCTGATATAAACAATAGTTCAGGGGCGCATTACCGAGAGAGTTTGGTCCCAAACTAACGAAAATGCCAGAAGTGCTCTGAACCCCATGCATCATAAAAACAGGACCCTTGTCCTGTCGAACACTAGGTATCCTGAACACATTTAAGATATAACCATCTTTGGTTTGAACTCTGTATTCCATAAAGGGATATCCAGATCTTCGAATAATTTCAGGCTGCGTGAAGGCAGATGTTAAGAAACCAGTTAGTTGATGTAGGTGACCGAGGATTGATTGGTTAGCATCACTTACCACTTTAATGTCTGCAGCAAAGTTGTACCAGCAGTTGTTGTTATTTTTCATAGTGATATAATCGCGAATAGTCGGACACACGTTGTTGTCTTGGCATGAAGATGACTTGAAGTACACAAAAAAGGTTAAAATTATCAGCTTATGGCACAGCATTTTTGCAAGGATCTGTTCGTTTAACTGCACCGGCGGTACCTTTAGTTCTGTTTGGTTTAAGATATTCACTTTCTTCGGTACGTCGTACCGATAATTATTTCTTTTAATTTCACTAGTTCACTGAACTATTATTATGATAAACGCCTATGCGGCTAACCCTTTCTACCAGCTATTACTGCATCTGTTTTATTTATTTTTCTTTCCGTATTTCCACCACCGCTGAAGGTTTCACTGAAAACATAAAATTCCGATTACTACTTGTGCTGAGCGACCAACCGAAGATTCAAAGCCATGAGCTACTTCAAGCTGCCAATGAAACGAAGTACGATACGAATTGTGCAATCTTCAAGGCGGTTTAGAATCTACGTGAAGTGTATCAATGAAAATACAGAGATTTTGTTAAATAGTCATTTACGCTACAAGTACGATAAAAATACTATTACCATACCAGTGTGACGACATTCGGTCATGTATAATAACAGGAGTATGATAATAACGCGTTAGCTTACGCGAAATTTACAAAATTTTATCTAGGACTCAAAAGTTTCATGAAAATTAAATTAACTAATTAAAAAAATATATTATTATATGAAGAGCTAGTTGGTTAACTGCTCAAATGAGTGAGATAAATGACATTTATTCCACTGTCGCATGTCGTAGGTAGTACTTAACTGACACTGCAAATGGAGAAATACAATGAGATATTTACGAGTTGTGAAGTTACACAAGAATAATGATAAGAACCTCAGAATTTGTTTCGAACGAGTGTAAATGAACGAAACTTATTCTAGTGGTTAAACTAAATGTATCCTACTGCTTGTATGAAATACAGGGTGTTTACTAAACATATGGCAAAAATTCATTGGGTTATTTCTCGGGTTATTTTAATACTAACTTCAGTTCTCATGTAACAGTTTAGGGTCAATAATCCATTTAGGAATTATGTACGTTATAGTGTACGATTGTCTACATAGATAGAACTTAACACAATGTAAGCACTCTAAATTAATTATGTGTTTTTGACTGAATTGCGAATTTAAAAGCTCGTAAATAATTGCAACATAAACCGTTTGTTAATAAAGGTATTACACCGTTGAAAAGTATAAGTGTACCGTGCGATTATGATCCAAAATATATTTTTACTTCTCGAGCTTAAGCAAAGGAAGTATTGTAATCGAGTCCGTCGGCCGACTCTCTACTTTTACGTTTTCTCGGCCTTTCATGAACCCTAGAGGACGAAGAAATAGGTCTCCCGTTTCCGTCTGTCTGTCCGTCTGTCCGTCTGTCTGCTGTCCCGGATTTTTATTCGACAGATAATCTCCGAAAGTACTGGACCGATTGTTGCAAAATTTTGTATTTATATTGGGAATATCATGTAGATGGTAAAACGCTAACCAAAATTTGTCTAATCATCCCCATCACTAATGCGAAGACGTCAGTTCAAAATTGTACATAATAAATGAGTTTTAAATTGTATAAAATAACATAGTCCTATACATATAGTTTATGACTCCGAATTGAGTTTTTACCCGAAAGGTCCAGATTATTGGAAAAAAAATCAAAATTATGAAACAACATTTTGCAATTTACTTTTGAATCTGCAAAACCGAATGCTTTGAAATCTTGCAGATGGTTTACAGTTATAACAAGCATGATAGATTTTTAATCAAAATACATTTACTTATCCCCTCCAAAAAATTGATGACGTCAGCTCAAAAGTTTGCCGAATAAATCCTATCGAAAATATAGAAAATATGAGTCTGTACTTGTAATTTATCATTCCATTCATATTTTTTGGATTTGCATATACAGGGCGACTCAAAAAAATTAATGAATGCGGGAATTTATTTTATTGATTTAATCAGGAACTACAAAACCGAATGCTTTGAAATCTTGGAGATGTTTTAAAGTTATCATAGGCATAATAAATTTATAGTCCAAATGTATTTCCTCGTCCCCCCCTAAAAAATTGATGACGTCACTTCAAAATTTTGCTGAATAAATCCTATATTAAATGTACAAAATATGATGAGTCTGTAGTTGTGATTTAACGTTCCATTCATATTTTTTGGATTTGCATATAGAGGGTGACTCAAAAAAATTAATGAATGTGTGAATTTATTTTATTGATTTAATCAGGAACTACAAAACCGAATGCTTTGAAATTTTGGAGATGTTTTAAAGTTATCATAGGCATGGTAAATTTTCAGTCAAAATGTATTTGCTCATCCCCTCCTAAAAATTGATGACGTCACCTCAAAATTTTGCTGAATAAATAAATCCTATCTTAAATGTGTAAAATATGATTAGTCTGTAGTTGTGATTTATTATTCCATTCATATTTTTTGGATTTGCATATACAGGGTGACTCAAAAAAATTAATGAAAATGTGAATTAATTTTATTGATTTAATCAGGAACTACAAAACCGAATGCTTTGAAATCTTGGAGATGTTTTGAATTTATCATAAGCATGGTAAAATTTTGATCAAAATGTATTTGCTCATCTCCCCTAAAAAATTGATGACGCCACCGCAAAAATTTTGCTGAACTTCTTCTTTCTGTCCTATCACGGCCACGATCGTGAGTTTGAAGTTGAAGGTACCATGATCTCGGAGTTGCTGTACCACTGATGCAAATGTTCACGCACACCAATTACCATTTCGACACAATCTGCATGGGAAAACTCCACCATAAACCGATTTCACCGACCGCTCGATGCTAACTGGCCCTTTTCGTGTTTTTCACGTTACGATTAAAAAAGTGCCTGATAAAGTAACTTTTTTGGTTCTTAATCCAACTCGCTCTGTTCCATTCATTGTAGTAATTATGTAGGTCACAAAACAGTCCAGCGGCGCGTACAACAATTTACATTTAATTTCAAATAATTTTTTCTAGACACTGCCTACTACTTAGGACCGTGAATTTTACCCAGTGACATAATCATATTGTGAGCTATTCCCCATTTTTTTTTTGCATGTATTTCGCAATCACCTTGTATAAGTATTATTACTTAAAGTCTAACAAGTCAATTCTGAATCATTGTATTCTCGATCACATCTTCAACATAGAAATATTTGAAAAACGTTATTCATTAAGTTATTTTAGGTTTTTGAGGAAAATAACATCTAGAAGTAAATTAATGACCGGGATAGTCAGATCATAAAATAAGTAGGTATATTTATGAAACTGAAAACTTTTATCGGGTTCAAAATAAAATATTGTGCATGCCTTGGAGCATTCTTATTAAGTGTATCAATATACAGAGTGAACATGCGGAAAAAGTTCAGAAGGTAATTCTTTGGATTATTTTAAGATTTTTGTCCTTCATTGATTTTCAGAGAAACGCTTTGTTCCTAAGATATGTGGCTATAAATGTAAAGTATGTAGTCGGTTTTTTAGTAAAACTAATTTTTACTCTTCGAACGAGCGGTTTATTAAAATTCTGTTTAGATACCGTCGTGTCCCGTACTGCTTCCTCCTCACTGCTGCCATCTAGTTGTAGCGCCAAATTTGAAATTTTAAATGTAGGTGACCACAATTCGGCCAATCCTGACATTATGATCGTCCCGATCATATACACAAAGTAAAACATAAGGTACATAACATAATAAGTGACAGAAAACATAAGGTGCTTAAACTTCAGTCACACAAACATCATAAGTTACACAAAGTAAAACATAAGGTACGTAACATAATAAGTGACAGAAAACATAAGGTGCTTAAACTTCAGTCACACAAACATCATAAGTTACACAAAGTAAAACATAAGGTACGTAACATAATAAGTGACAGAAAACATAAGGTGCTTAAAACTTCAGTCACACAAACATCATAAGTTAGTGAAACATAAAATGTTAAAAACATAAGTCACATAAATTCAATACATAATATAACGCCTAAATAACATAATGATAAGACGCACATAAGTATCTAAAGTACATAAATCACATAAGTAATCAGGACACATAAAAATCATAAGGGTATTAGAGATGGATTAGAAAACCCAATCGCTTAAAACCGGGCTTAAAAGACGAACATGTTAGCGTCAAAACTAGAACGAGGTGGAAACAAAACTTAGAAACACAACATTCTGAAATAATGAACAAATGAAACTAATCTCTTTGTAACTTATTGAAGCCAAAGCTTCATATTCTCAGGACAACATACTCCCTCAAATGGGATTTGCGTTACTTGGAAACCTTCAACGTCTGTAATTCAATAACGATCATTGCCTAATGACTTCTTGATTTCGTAGGGACCACGATACCTAGGTAAAAGTTTTTTATTAATACCTGGTGTAACATCTATGTTTTTTATCATCACATAATCACCGACGTTGTACGGTTTAGGAGGTCTATGTTTTTGGTCATACATGCGCTTATTGTATGCTTGTAACTTTTCATTCTGAGACTGAGCTTTTTCTCGAACCTCGGCTAAGTCATCTTCTTTTTCAGCTTCAGCGCCCAATAAATTTCTTAAAGGATCGCTAGGATCGTTTTGACTAATACCGAACAATAAAACGGATGGAGAATTACCAGTGGATCTACAAAACGAATTGTTAATAGCAAATTCAACTGTTCCCAAAGCTTTCTCCCACTTGTTTGTTAAAATAGCCAATTTTGACAACATTGGTGTTAAGTCTCGATTGATTCTTTCGATCTGACCGTTTGATTTTGGTGACCCCGTCGCGACTTTAATATGCTGAATCATATGTTCTTGAACAAACTTTTCGAACTCATTAGAGGTAAAACAGGATCCCCGATCGGATACAATACGTAACGGTACACTATAGTGCCTAAAATAATTTTCTAACTGATTGATTACTTCACAAGTTTTGGTGCTCTTGACTGCATACAGTTTTACGAATTTAGTGAAACAATCAATGATCTCAAAAATATATCTTTTACCTGTCAAAGTTTTTTCTAATGGACCATAATGGTCAATATGTATGGTGACAAAGGGTTTATTTCCCTTAAGGATATTGTGTAACTCACTCGGCACAGCGCCACCAATGGGTGAAAAGGTGATACATTTCAAACAATTTCGAACATGATTTTTCACTTTTTCTTTAATACTAGGAAACCAATAGCTGCGTTTTAGATACTCCATAGTTTTGTCCACGCCAACGTGACCGAAATTATCATGACACATAGTTAAGATC